GTTGGTCCACCCACACAGAGCCCCGCATGTGTGGGCAAGGCTAATACAATGAGGTGCGCCTGTTGCCTCAAGGTTAGTCGCTATTGGCTGGGCTTCCCCCCAGCCTTGCATATCTTGGCGCGCCCTATACCGTAAGAATTGGGAGGTGTTATAATGACCTCATCACGCGATCCGGGTAGTGAAACCAAGATCCCCGTGCCCCCTGCAGCACCTATCCCGAGGCCGAAGCCACGGGAGTCGTGCACCGCAGGCGGTTTGCGGTTTGTGCCACGAGCTGGTCCGCGGCGACGGCTTTTGATCCAGATCCGTGGGTTTTATTCCACGACTTTCACTTATGGCAGTCGCTAACCGGTCAGACGTATCTGACCGGCCTTCTCCCTATCCGCCACATGGGGACGCGCCCGATGGGTCGCTCAACCTGCACGGGAATTATTATTTTCCACATTGCCGGTACATGTTTAATCCTGATTGACGCGTTAAATAGATGTGTTAACATCAGTATTCCCGTTTTCGGCAGTTGTTTCAGGATTTGTCCTGTAATTAAATCAAACCCAGGAGCCTTTTTTGGGCTGAGATTATTATTAATTTCTTCTGCGACTTCTTTCGGAGTAACAGGAGCAATCATGTCGATCGAATTGGAGGACGAAATATTGTCTGCAACCGGTGGGTTATTGTGTTGGTTGTATTGTATGTCGTTTGGTACAAATACTCCTGCCAGATATTCAGCAAATAGATCCGCTTTTTGTTGATCATCACGAGCCCAATCGCTTAGTCCCTTTCTAATAGGCGGTATTGACACAACTGGTTTTCTAACTTTCTTTGCAACCTTCCACAAGGAATGTTCAGTTTCTTTATCTGCTGATAAATTTGTAATAAAGGAATTTAGAGAATTCTGTTTTAATTTGTAAATTTTACGTTTTAGCTTTTGACTTTCTCTATTTAATGATGTCTTATCGCTAGGATGACGTGTTTGTTGCCATCGTCTTCTTGCTTTTCTTTTCTCTTTGACTAAAATCCGAATTTCAACCGGATAGTTTACTCCTTTCGTGATGTGAGTAATTTCTTTGGTGTTTTTGTAAGCAACTGTTTGCAGCAGAGTCGTAA